TCCAGACCGCAAGTCGCCGACTCTGAAGTTGTCCTTATCTCCAAAAAGTTTTACAGAACAAACTTTTTACGACCAAGAATAACCGGTCACACTGTCCCCTATTGGCATGCGATTCATACACAAGCCTGCATTCTGATTAGTTTGTTGTGCACTTTCCAGAATGCGTGTCCTTGTTCTTGGATGAGCTTTTGCCGGCGTTCTTTCGTCAGTTTTTTAAGCAAGAGAATTCTCTTGGTTGATAATTGTATTGTCTCCTACAGGAGACAATTGCACCTATGGGCGCTATTCCGTCATTGGAAGAGATCCTTCAGATATTTGAGCAGGAGCAAAGTGATAATTGCTTAGAAATTTCCACTTCTTGGTTGCCTGCGCTCTTGGTGGGGGCTACGCGTATATCAGATTGAACGTCTGCAATAATTATTTTGTTTGACTTCTGTTTATGCCTCATTTTAACCGGCCCTTGAGCGTTCTTTTCATCGCTGTGCCCTGCCATTCTTTGGGTGTACGGTAATCCGCCTGTGCGCTGAATGTCGTATATATTAGCCTTCTCCTGGAGCAGTTCGCACACTGGTAACGAGGCTTAACAGGATGCAGGATGCCCGTGTGTCATCTAGCCAGCGACCGATTGCATGGACCTCGGGTAACTATTCTGGCTTTTCGTATCGTAGGTTCGGAATAAAAAAGCAACTTTTATGCCCCACTGAAAGCAACGATATGGAATTTGTTCAATCGGTCGGATCATCCACAACATTTATCCTGTTTGCTTCTAGGACTCTCCATTATTTCCGCTTTACTCAATATGTGGCCGAGCATCTCACACGTTATTTTTGACGTGGATGGTCTACTCTTGGACACGGAGTCACTTTATTCGGCAATATCAAATGAGATCCTAGAAGAATATGGCCTAAAAATGACTTACGATACAAAACGGAAGATCATGGGAAGGAAGCCACTGGAGGCCGCTTCTGTCCTTGTGAATGAGCTATCTGCTCCCTTCACTGCATTTGAGTGGATATCCATGTTTAAAGCAAGACTTACTCTGGACAAATGGCACTTAGTTCCCCCTTTACCCGGGGCCGAGAAATTGGTTCTTCATTTGGCCAAACACGACGTACCGATTGCAGTAGCCACGGGCTGCCGTTCGGACGAACTTCGTCACAAGATGAGAAATCATCAAACTTTGTGGAAACATATCAGCGTCGCCGTTGCATCCGGCGATGACCCCATGGTAAGTCCAACAACCCGATTGCAAGTTAATGCGCGTAGTCTGCCTAACGAGATGCCTAAAGGGATGATAACCATTGTTTATATGTACCTTGAAGCAGTCACACTCTTCCAAGATGGACAAATTAGTGACTCAACGGGCTGCGCTAGATGGTCCTCGTACGAGGACCGGTTTTGCAAGGATCCAGGTGTACGAAGTACGTACTTCGTACACCTGGATCCTTGCAAAA